ATCTGAAAATTAAATTTATAATTGTTAATAATTAATAAAATTAATTTATTAATTATTAACTTTATAATGAGAATCAATTGGGACTCAACTTAATAACTTATTACTGAACTTCATTAATTAATTATTGTTATACCCACAATTATAATTTTTTTTATTTTAATTAATTATTATACTCTTTGCACTTGACCTTTTGACTCAATTGATACCCTATCAGCTTGAGGTGTATTCTCTCTCCCGAGGATTTTGAACTCACCCCTTAACAACTTGTTCAAAAAAAAAATTATTATACTATTTAATTTATTAAAAAATAAAAATTATAAATTTAAAAAAATATATATAATATAAGAATATAATAAATAATAATATTAAAAAATATAATAGTTACTATTTAAGATGTTATAATAATTTCACTTGTAGTAGGCCCTTGAAAAAGAGCCAAAAATGACTTAAAACCCAGTCTCAAATGTGCTGTGTAGGAGCATTTTTAAGAGCTCAAAAGACTAAGCTTTCAGATTTTTTGGTAGATAGCTGTCATCGAACCTCCTGACTCAGAACCTATTAATTTGAAGTACATACTGTTATTTTTTTTCCATATAAATAAAACAAAAATGAGAAAGTTACTGTCCCACATGGCTCAAATTTAAATCATTAGAATAAATCAACAAACACTCCGATTTGCAGTTAGTGCATTGGACGCGAGTGGAAATGGGATGGGATTGACTCCGTTAGTGCGGATGTGCCTTAGTCAACCACCATGGCATACTGATTTTCTGGTCAAATAAGGGCAGCTACCAGCTAGCCCATCATTTCTGTTGTTCATTTGACAACAGCTGCTGAAGTTCTTCCCCCGGAAAATGAAGAACTTCAATAACAATAATCAGGAAAAGTCTCCCGTTTGCATAATCTATCATTACTTATGTACTAGGAAGTAAGTAGAAACCAAAGCCGGGAAAGGAATGTAGGATAGAAATGAAAGAAATAGCGCAACAAAGTTTGTAAAATCAAAATTTGGCAATATTATGGTTACACTCTATTGTATAAATAACAGACTCATGTCTGGCCAGAAATTTCAACATAATTCCTAGTCAGAATCAGAATCAGGATCTGCATCGACAATATCAGGGAATGAATCGTTAGAGGAATCACTGTCCGAACCATCATTCCAAGGATCCTTACCTTTGTCAGCCCTTGGTATGACTGAGGGAGTAGTTCCACTGACATTAGCAGATCCTTCAACTTTGTCCTGTGATATATTTACTGTTGATACCATGTCATGATCTTTATGAGATAATGAATCACTGCCTGAAGCAGCTCTTCCCAATTTTAGTTCGGTACCTTGAGGATCTCCAGCAAATTCATGATTTGTGGCACTTTTGGCAGAAACAACTTCCTGGAACTGAACTGGTTTTTGAAACTGATGGGATTCCACAATAATTTGGTCCTCATCACTTATCATCTGAACATCTGCATTGCCAGTTGCAGGTTCCCACTCACTTATCTCTGGAGCTTTTATACCACAGGCATCAGAAGGTGGAGGCTTTTCAGCAAAATTAGTTTCTGGAAGCTTTTCAACTAAATCAGTTTCTTTGCTCTTAAATGGTTCTACAGTATCCTTCATACACTTCCCAGGGTATTTTTCTGGAGAATCATTGACATTTAGCAGGAAATCATCATCCTCATAATCTAATTCAGGTGCATCATGTCCCATTTCTTTGGATAAATTAGGACATGCTGAGGGAAAATCATCCAGTGCAAGGGTCCTGGGGTGTATGAGCACCTCCAAAGTCAAAAGAGCATAGGCACAGAATCCAGCAATCTTTGTCCCAGCTTCTTGCTTGCCTGCAAAATCAAAAAAGCAATGAGAACCACATCAAAAGAAGTAGAATGACCCAACATACCAGTGTGAATCATCTTTTAGTCATACCCAGTACACTTAACAACTGGCATTCACATTAAATCATCTTCCCTATTGACTAAGAGGACACATTTGGCAAGGCAGCATAAATTATGCTTCTGAAAAACTAGTTAGTGCTTACCATACATTAAAACTAGTAAAGTACTCTTATTCTCCTTACTTCACATGGTGAGAAAAATGAAATATGTTACAGATTGGAATAGTTACCCCTACAAAAAAGATCAAGTCCCTGAGCTAAATATGGTGGACGGACTCGGGCTGGGGCAAGAAGTGATGCCAAGAGTGCACGTAATGCTGCAAGCTGAAAATCTGCCAAAATCGAGGTTGATTCATGGGGTAGAAAGATGTCATTTTCCTCATTTGCCCATCCCCCTTTACAAGAATATGTTGCTATCATTATCAAAAGATTATCAATGCTAGATCGCCAACTCTCAGATCCTAAAACACCACCCTGAGAAAAATTAGCATACCACATTCAATTTTCAAGAATAATGTGCAACCCATGTTACCAACCAAAAGTTGGCAAGGACTGAAGGACATTAATGATATAATTATATGGCATAATTATGAGCTTGAGGCACACTGTGCAAATGAATATGCAACATGTCTCAATTTTTATCTCCAGCAACCAACCTGAAATGGCAATTGTTGATGAAAGATAAATGAAGTTAAAGCATTTAAGGTTTTACAATTTTTTTAAAAAAAAATGCTATTTGTGATTGCCATGACTGGGACATACAAGAAGATACTTTATTCTGATATGATTATAAACAAATAAAGAGGGGGGGAAAATCTCTGAAAACAAACATGCGGATTGCATACCACAGTAAGAAGAGTTTCTAAAGCCTCAAGAGCAGCCATCTTTAAAGAAATTGGAATTATTTTGTGCTTCTTGTGTGCTCCAACCTCTAAACCAGTGTTTGTTTTGTCTTGCTGCTCCTCAGAAGATTCAAAACTAGCACCGTGCTTTCTTTTCCTCTTAGCAGATTGGATTTTAATGGAGTTTGGGTCTGAAGCAGATGTTCCAGCATTTTCCTCTAGAACAGAATTCAGATCAATGGATGCATTGTCAACAATATCGTGTGCAAGATACATTGCCATTCCTGATAAGAAAATAACTTCAAATTAATAATGCCACTAAACCTTGCTTCCCTGATAATGTAGAGAATGAATGAATTCTGATGCACTATCAACTATAGAGCTTAATTCAAAGAGGGTCTCCAAGCTTGCAGAATCAGGCATGGTAGAAACTTTCTCCATGCAAAGATGTCTCAGAATTCAGAGAGCAAGCATTTTGTGGAAACCTTTCAGCTTATAGAACTACTAGTGTTAAATCCTTTAAATCATGTCAACTGCCAAATAGAAAAGGTTAATAATGCCGGTTACCAACACCCATGGATATGAGTAGAGTCCTAGTGATTGAGTACAGCTTTATCCTTAATTCTGGCAGTGCACATCTCCTGAAATACTTGGTAACAAGTCTTACAACCTCTGCAGCATGTGGCAACAAATGACTGCAAGCAATGAAAATATTACTGGTGAATGTGTGCACTCTTCCAATTGAACAAGAATAAGAAGTTTATGAAAATAGGTAGAATATCAATGGTCTGTAATATAAAAGTTTGATTCTAGCCACACATATTATAAGAAGTTATCAATTTTACAAATCATGGCAAGCAGTCAATCATATTTGATGATGTTGATCTGGAGTGTAAGGCATTGGTTATAGAAATGTTCCATCATTTTCTAATGTCATTTCAGGATCATTATTTGCATAATGTGTTTTCTTGTATGGAGGCCATTATGACTATTTTGATAGAAGAAAGTGATGACATCTCTACGGAACTGATTTCTCCACTACTAACTACTTATTGTTGTGAATGATGCCTTGAACCCTACTACTCAAGAGTTGCCAGAAACAGTACTTGAGAATTGTGCTACTAAGCTTAAGTCATATTTGAAACAAGCCCAGGAAGAGAATGAGAACTTACTTGAAGGAGCCATTGAGATTGGTCCTCTTAACAAAGGAATCAGGAGGATGCCAAGTTTGAAATGGAGAAAAGTCCTGAGAAGAATTTGGAAAGTTACTTAACATCTTTCTTGTTGGGTTCTAAACAAGAAGTCAAGCCACAAGAGCTACTTGAAGAGCTTCAACATTCAGAGGTAAATGACAAGGTGGAAACTAGAGAAGATATTGACAAAACGTGTTCAAGAAACTTTCAGAATCAAAGCCAAATGGCATAGTGGAAACTGTGGAAGAAAATTTTGAATTA